CCCGTCCATACTTAGTTTTGCCAACTTCACCTTAATATTTTCAGGGATATTTTGCACCTCAAAATAAATCTCTGCTCTAGTAATCCATCCTACTGGGTCTTCCCCATCGAACATAGGCAATTCCACCTTCTTCACGGCCATACGGAATTCTGTCAATCGGTCATCCCCCTTGTTAACAGCCGGCGGTGTCGCTTGTGACGGTCGTTCCAGCAGCTTGACTAACTCTGCTAACATCGTCTCCCTGAATTCAGCCAACGAGCGCTGAATGTTTTCCTCCATCATCCCTACTGCTTCCTCCAACGCCTCCACTCGATCACCCACATTGGTTGGCTTTGGTGGCATCTTCAGATATGCTGGTTCCCCTCGAAGTATCCGGCAGGTCGGACCAATTAATAGAAACAGAAAAATTGAGAAGACAAGCTGAATGATTAAAAGAGGAAAAATGAGCTGAAGCTCTACAATGAACAAGGAAAATTATCCAGACTCTGGGACTCCTCTCCAGAGAGTTCTCTCCTAACAAAATAGACAACAAATAACAGAATGATTCCCCTTTTTCCCCTCCACTACTTTTAACTTTCTCCCTAACRACCCTTCTCCTTCTTCTCTCTCCTCGTGTACACTTTCCATATTATGGGCTTTTTACCCAMCTRAGAAATTATGGGCTCATGGGCTTTAGCATCTGGATTCCCAACACTTGCAAACATATCTATAAGAATTTTAAGCGTGAAATGCAAGGAAACCCTTTTTGAAGTTGATGTGATGCTTATTTCTTTGCAGTGGCTCAGTTAGTTGGGGCCAATAAATTGGGATTTCAAAAGCTGTTGATGGAGTTCACATGGGGATGTCAACCATTCATTCTGAGAGGGGTTTCACTGCAAAAGCTAAAGGTAGTGGAGGGAACCGACAGTTAAACTAATGGAGACGGCCGTTCCATTATGTTTGTTGCAATTGGTTGATACTTCTTTCTCAGAAGCTTCTGTTATGGCAGTCTCAAGTCAACAACTAAAAGGCCAAAGTATGGATTATTAGGAGCTAGAAATTCAAAAACAGGAGTATAGAATGGTGTTTGATGAACCAATTGAGTTTCCCAACAGAGGGGTGTCTTTGATCATATGATACCTTTGGAACTAGGCGCAGACCCATTCAACATTAGGCCCTACCGATATTCACTTAAACGAAGGGATGCCATTGAGCAGTTGGTACAGGAAATGTTGGATAAAGTTCTAGCCCCTTTGCATCTCCGGTAGTTTTGGTGGGAAAGAAGGATAGTACATGGAGATTATAGGGAACTCAATAAGAGGACTGTGAAGATTAAATTCCGTATACCCGTTATTGACGAGTTGATTGAAGAATTGGCAGGGGCAACAGTTTTCAGCAAGCTGGATTTAGGAGCAGGCTATCATCAACTGAGGGTCCACAATAATGACATTTACAAAGCTTTTAAAACCCATACAGGCCATTACGAGTTTTTAGTTATGCCATTTGGCCTTTCTGATGCTCCGGCATCATTCCAAGGTTGGATGAATAATGTTTTTAAGCCGCTACTAAGGAGGTGTCTGCTAGTTTTTTTGACGATATTCTTGTTTATAGCAAGTATATGCAGGAGCATTGGGATCAATTAGCAAAGGTATTTAAAGTCAACCAATTATATGCTAAGGCAAGCAAGTGTAGTTTTGCAATTAGCAAAGTGGAGTACTTAGGCCATTATATTTCAGCCAAAGGTGTGGAGACTGATCCATTAAAGGAAGCAGCAGTGGACAGCTGGCCAGTACCAAAATCAGTGAAAGAATTGCAAAGCTTCCTGGGATTAGCAGTTAACTACAGGAAATTTGTGAAGGGATATGCAGTATTAAGCAGGCCATTGACTGATCTGTTAAAGGAAGGAGTTTTTGAATGGAATGAAGGGACTCGGAAGGTTTTTGTGAGCCTTACTACTGGCCATTGCATTTGCCGTCCAAAAATGGGAGGAGTACTTGATGAGAGGACATTTTATCACTAGGACAGATCAGAAAAGCATTAAGTAGCTCTTACAACAGAAAATCTCACCACCATTTCAACAATTTTGGGTGTCTAAATTGATGGGTTTCGATTACGAGATACAAAATAAAAGTGGAAAAGAGAGTGTGGCTGCTGACGCATTATCTCGGGTTCAAGGGGCGGAGGTCTTGTGTATGGCTATTTAAGTAGTAGCTTCGGATCTCATGCCGTTAATTCAAGCTTCTTATGAATCAGATAAGGGGTTGTCAGAAATAATTAAACGACTACCGCAGCAGGAAGCCGAACCGAAGTTCCAACAACCCTTGCCTATTCCTGAAGAGGTATGGGTAGATGTGTGAACGGATTTTATTTATGGATTGCCCAAGTCAATGGGAAAAGATGCTATATGTGTCGTAGATAGGCTGAGCAAATACAACCACTTTAAGGCATTATCGCATCCTTTTACAGCTATGCAAGTGGCAAAGTGTTATCTTAGATAATGTATTCAAGTTACATGGGTGGCCAAGAAGCATTGAAAGTGATAGGGATCTTATATGTCTTAGTCAATTTTGGAAGGCACTGTTCTCTATTCATGGAACAAAATTTCGGTTGTCTTCACCATATCACCTGAAAACTAATGGGCAGACTGAAGTTGTAAACAGATGCTTGGAAACTTACTTAAGATGCATGTGTAGCAAACACCCAAAGGACTGGAGGTTTTGGTTGCCGTTAGCAGAGTGGTGGTACAATACCCACTTTCATTTGGCTACCAAAGTGACACCCTATGAAGTGGTGTATAATCAGCCTCCGCCAGTGCATCTTCCCTACTTACGGGGAGAGTTAACCTAATGAGTTGGTGGACAGAAGCTTACAGAGAAGAGACGAGATGATAGCAAGGCTAAAATTTCACTAAAATGGTTAGTTAGTTGGAGCAGGAGCGTGTATTCTTTTCCATGTGTATTTTGTTTTCCCTTGTATAAATAGGATGTAGCAGTGTAAGTGGAATTCATTCACAAAATAAGCAATACCAGTCTCTTTTCTCCTATTTTGTCTGGTTTTTCATCGATTGATTGAGGGTAATACCAATTGGCCCTTATCATTCAGACAATACAATCTTCTCTAGCCTGGACTTTCACTTTTAATGGTTTGGCAATCTGCTCTGGGTTATTAGGACTTTTACAGGAGCGTAGGATGCTGAAACATGATGCTGCTGGGTGAACTACATTAGAATATGTGAAACACCTAGGTTACTCTCCAAAAGAGCCATTGTTCCACACTGAGAATATGTGAAACCCTTACTCCCTTAGGTTACTCTCCAAAAGAGCCATTGAGCAGAGAAGGGAGGTTTCAACATAGATTGAGGTGAAATGGTCCAAGTCTAGCCGATGCGAAACTTCAACACCCCCCCTCCAATGGAGGCTAGACGGGTATTGATTGTCCCAGAGCGTCGATTCCCTAGAGTGGTAGCAGACCTTGGGCCTGATACCATGTGAAAATATGTGGAACCCCGTATTACTCTCCACAAGAGCCATTAGGTGAGAACGGGGGTTCCAACATATATTGAGGAGAAATGCTCCGAATCTAGCCGATGTGAGACTCCAACATCATTGATATATATTTTTCTTTTAACATATAAATCAATAGAAGTGCAAACTATAAATAAATTTTAGGGAAACTGGCCATTATATGACCCAGTTTTGGGCATCACTTGGCTGCTAGAAACCAATTTGCCTTGTTTTTTTTTCCTGATTCTTCCTTTAATAAAGGTTTCTTGTCTTGTGTCAGCTTTTGGTGAGGCTATGCTACATACCATTGGCTACATCTACACAAGGCAAGCTGCAAGAGAATTGGGAAGGGATAAAAGGTATATGAATGTCCCATTTTTAGCAGAATGGGTGAGGGATAAGGGACACCAGATAAAATCACAAGTTTCAGCTGCTTCAGGTTCAATATTTTGATACTCGACAAGTAGCTTTATTGATACATTAAATGAACCTATAATGTTCATTATTTTTCGCATTATGTAGGTGCCGTTGTATTAATCCATACAATGGAGGAGCTGAAGAAGTTGAATGAATCACAAGCCAAGGAAGAGGAGATAATAAAAACTATCGAGAATAAGAAAGATGCAATGTTCAATTCCCTGTGGCAGCTCAACGTTGTAGATATTGAGACCACCTTATCCCATGTCTGTCAAGCGGTGAGTTTATGCATGATCTGCTTCGTTTTATAGCACCAATTTCTAACTTTATGATCAAATATATATCAAGAAAAGCTTCCATCTCCCACCCTTATTTTGGGGTCTCTTGCAAAAGATGCACAAAGTAGGTGACGTAAAGTTTTTCTGAGGACCATATAAACCAAATCAAACGAATTCAATATATCCCACTCAAACTAGGGTCTGAGGGGTGGGATGTACACACACTTGTTTGTGCAAAAATGTTAACGAAAAGGAAAGAAGAACCAAGACTAGTAAATAGTAAGTAGCAGAAAAGAAAAAGACAAGATCGAAATAGGCACATCTGATGCGTTGAATTGAAATGCTTGCTTAGAAATTACTTCAAATTGCTCTATTTCCTATGGATTGTAAATATGTCCACAACTTGGTAGTCATAAAAATGCCACATTTTTCTTAACATCCTGGAAATCATATCCAAGGGAGTGTCTTCTTCCAGCAATTTCAACACGCAAGTGTGAGATTCAAATTGAGAACGTTTAGGTTCTCCTGAGCAAATTCTAACCACTTGAGCAAGTCCAACATGATAAAATAAGCCAAATTAAATTGACCCTTAAAATACCCTTAAGGTCTTAATTGGTGTGTCTAATTTTTGTAAAATGACATTTACGTGCCTGCTAAGTTTGTTCTTTGATCATTGGGAAATAAATTTTGTTTCCACTTCAGGTGCTAAGAGATCCTACCGTTTCAAAGGATACGCTGAAGCAATGGGCTAGAGCAATGAAGAAGCTTGGAACCATATTCCAAGTAAGTATACATCATGTCACCAACATCCTTTGTGTGAGTTTACAAGTTGTGCATCCTATGGTCCAAGTCTAGCTAGCGGATTAACACATCCCTTCCAATGGAGACCCAAATATATTGTTGCAGACTGCATGAGAGGGGTACAGATTTCCCTAGAGTGTCTAAGGGGCCGTTTACCAAATGCTTACTTGGGTAAGCGTTTACCAAGTCACGTTACCTCACCGGATGAATATGGTAAAGGACCAAGAATCTTACCCGGAAAGAGCGAGACAAGGACCAAGAGTCTTACCCGGTAAGTGAGTGCGACGACTCTTACCACAAGCACTTACCGGGTAAATTGTTGCATGTGATGTCGTTTTGGTTGACTAAAATGTTACCCAGTAAGTAAATAATAGTGTTAAATTTTACTGATAAGCACTTACCGAGTAAGTATTTGGTAAACAGCCTCTATGTCCTTAGAGTGGGGTTCTTATACCATGTGAAAACATTGGAACCCATTATACTACTCTCGAAAACTTCAACAAGATGAGGAGGTTCCAACATATATTTAGAAGAAATGGTCCCGAAATACTTTGTTTTTTGATACTGGCATGTCAACTATGTTATGATAATCTTGATATATGGAAAATGAGGCCCATTACCCTTTTTCTTTCTTCCTGTTTTTATGTACTTGATAAATGCAAAATATTTAAGATTTTCATCTCTTTATTCTTCTTAGTTGCTAATGAGTAGCATAAAAAGTGCCATATTTAGTTGGTGTGTCTTAAAAATAAGAATTAATAAATAAGCAAAAGACCTTCGCTGCTCAAAAATCTCGAGTAGGTGGTGTTCTATACCAATGTTAGTTACGTAAGTAAACAAGTCTTTTTGGTAAACCACAAGGGTGGTGCCTGATTGGTTTGAGCTTCACGGAGGTTCAAAATGTGGTGACTCCGGGCTATCTGCAAAGCAGGTGGTCGGCCTGAGATTAGTCGGCTCGTATAGCGGGTTGGATATCCAAGTTGATAAAAAAAAAATCTTTTTGGTGACCATGGGTGACCATGAATGGCGTGGAGTCAAAACAGGTGAACCTCCATGGCTGCAAGGGCTGTGGGAGCGTTTAGATTCGAACTCATGGTAGATAAGATTTTCCACTACATCCAAGTATTGAAACTCTGCTAAGAAGGAAAAATCAATACGATATTTAATTTTGTGTGTTTGAAAGAAAATTAATGTTTCATGATTTGATGATATTCAGGGTGCAAAGTCGAATTACCGGAGAGATAACAGTCTGCGTGTGGCCAGTCCTGCTGCTTCATCTTCTTCCTCCAAGTAATTTTGGATTTTTTGATTATTCAAATTATTATTTATTTAATTATTTAGCAGCCATACAGTGTTATCATATATATATATATGCACACACACACACACACAATATAAGTTAGTTGTTGCCTGAATGTTTGTAACATTTCTGTTTATTAAAAGAGTGTCAATTGTTGCAGATGAATTATAATGTTTTAAAGTTGATCTCAGTTTGTCCACTGCAAGAAATATCCTGATGGGCTTTTCGGTACTTTTCTATTAATTGATTTTCACAAAACAAATGTTTTTAACGTATTATTACATATATATCCTATGAAATCCTGTGAAATACTGAGCAGGATATCAAAATCCTATGTTTATGGGATTTCAAATCTAGAAAATCTTTCAAACCAAATATGGGATTGGAATGAGATACAGATTAAAAATCCCTCAAATTTCAATCTAATCCTACAAAGCAAACAAGACGTAAAAGTATTGATGGCCTTATTCCGACAAGAATACAAGTCGATGGTGTTTTTCAGGAAAAAAAAATATTTGTTCGACTCATGTGTTATCGACTATAATAAGTTTGGGTGCATGATTGCATGTATTTGTTGAAAATACGTCCGTAAAATTTTGGAGGCTTGCAGACATCTATGATATGCCAAAACAATCTTGACCTTTGTTATTGTAATTAGCTCGATCATGGTGTATATAGGGGAACGATTGTGTCATGCAATAAATCCCGGTCCCAAGACCTTGTTTTTAGGATTCAGATTCTGTTAATTAAGATTCCATAGGTTAATTTGTTATATAAATATATCCCATGTCTCTTTAGCCTGAGAGACATTACGAGAGGATTAAGTGATGACCCGCCAATTGATAGGTCATCTTTCACAAAGGTTAAACCAAATCCGAAACTTCTCTATACCATTCAGTGAAGGATCAAGACCTCTGTCGAAGATTTCTAGAAGCTTCTCCATGGAATGGAGAACTCTCTAATATTTAGTATTTACTTGATTTCCCTAAAATGTTCCTTGTACATCTGGACAGAGTTCTCTACATACACTACTACAGATGTGATTTTTATATGCGTTTTATTATATACAGTTTTTTAAGAATAAAATAAAAACCATGTATAAAAGATGGTTCTGGACCCTTTTTTTTACACGGTTGGGTGGAACCGTTGCTAAAAATATGTTTTATACACGGTTTTGAAAGCAAAACCGTGTAAAAAGGATTAGTCAACAAATGTAAAACGGTTGCATCGCTAATACATGCATGAAAGTCTACTTTTATACACGGTTTTGAACTAAAAACCGTGTAGAAAGATGTCACCTTTTTTTACATAGTTCTTCTACAAACCAATGTATAAAAGATAACCTTTATGCACGGGTTTGAAGCAAGAAACCGTGTATAAAAGCTAGCGTCCTTCACAAACGGTTTTTTATACACAACCGTGTATTAAAAAGCTATATAATATATAGGGTTTTACCTTTATATTTTAGGTGCTGTTTATAATACCATTTCTTGTGTTAGTGATAGCTTCTTAGAGTAGTAAAAATAGGTGTTGGCCTCATTTGGCACGACACACGTCACGATTCACTTCAAAGTGTTTTTTGTACAAGTTCCTCTTAATCCAAGTTCCTTTGCATTCCACAGTTTCTCTTCGCCTCCTTTTACTTAGCCTTAAAACACTGACAATTTGAAGTTTAAAACCGACTTAATTAAGGCTACACACAATCTTGTAAAGACAAGTCTACGACTTTAATTAGCTTCGAGAGTTTCGAATCAGAAGTGATTTCAGATTATAATCAATCTTTTTTGGTTCCTGGTTTCTTTTTGGTTAATAAAGATCCTCTGTATGGACTTATACTGCATGTTGATGGTGAAACTTAATGACCTATTCGTTCATTATGCATCTGTTTTAACCCTTTCTATTAAATACCAAACCGTTTCTTACAGTTATCACGTTAACATAATAACAATCAACATTAGCCTCATACCTTGCCAACACATGGATAGTATAAAAAGGGGAGAGAAGAACAAAATCCAAGTTAAATTTAGGTACAATTTGTATTCTAATAATAACAAATAAAACACATATAAACCACAAGGGTGGTGCTTGATTGGTTTGAGCTTGGCTCCAAAGTTTAAAAGTACCAGGAGGTCTCAGATTCAAATTTAAGGATAAATAAAAATCCCCTTGTGGCTACGGAGGTTCAAATGCGGTGATTCTAGACTATCTGTAAAATAGGTGGTCTCCCCAAAATTAATCAACTCACATATCAGGTTGGATATCGAGATTAATAAAAACCCATATAATGTGGTGGAAAGGAAAGGGCAAAAAGCAAACTAAAGTTGGCATGTTTTCAATCCAAGAGGTGGCATTTATGGAATTTAAATCCAAAAATCATTAAAATATTATTAGTTGGATAATTATATATATGAAATGCCAGATACCATTTTAACCCAATTTAATCCAATCAAACATTAATCAATGAGATTATTAAAGCTGCAAAAAGCTTTCAACAATTGGCTTATCATTGGGAGATCATGCATACATACATATATATATATATGAAATAATTAAAGCTATATGACGAGGAAGTTGTCACTCAATTTGGTTTGTGGAAGAAACATGCATAAAATGTTCAATTATTAACTTTTTAAATCATTGTATTTGTTTTTTAATTTCCAAACGGAATGTTTACGATACAAAATTAATTAAACGGATACAATTTATAAGAGTAAAAGGGTGTTTGGATGTGTTGTAGGATAATTATGCTACGGTTTACGGATTAAAACGTAGTTAATTTGATTATTGAAATCAAAACGATTATTTTGAAAACGGTCTAAACACCAGGCAATTCTTAACAAATGTAGTTTCTTGCTTTGTAAAATCCGTTATCGTTTTTTCCTTAAAAATAATGATGTTTTATTTGCTTTTTCTAAAAGATCGAGCGATGTTTTGTTCTGAAAATTAATTATTCGCTCCAAACAATGTTCGAGTTTTTTTGTTACAAATCAACCGCAATCTACAACTGCTTGTAAGAAATCAAATAAAGAAAAAACCATAAATTAAACCCACAAGGGGATTTTTATTCTTCCTTGGATTTGAACTTGAGATCTCCAGATATTTTTGATTTTTGAAGTCAAGCTCAAACCAATCAGGTACATCTTTATGGTTAAATCTACCATAAAATAAAGAAAGGTGGTAATGGTAAATCAAGTGTCTCTTGTTCTTGAAGGAAAAGTGTTTTTCATTTGAATTTTTGGGAGGTGGGGGCTGTCCTAAGAACTGCTTTAGTACAGAAAGGAAAAGGGCTGAATAAAAATATGAAGAGAGTGGTGTCTTTATTCTCCACCACTGTCCTCTCAATGGTATTTGGTGACAAGTCTTTGTCCATTTCTATACATAATTCATACCACCCACCATCCAAGATTTAACCCCTTTTTTTAATCAACCAAAACCCACAAATTATTTGCATCTTTTTGGAACCCTAGACAGACAATCAGTTAAAGGACAAAACAAGAACCCTAATGTTTCTAAAGTGGTCATTACTTGCCTTTTTCATCAGATTTGTCAGTGATGATCAGTCATATATACTGCACCTGCACCTGGTTTAAAGCACTAGAATCCATTAGAGAACCTTCACTGCTTTCATCACCTCTATCTGTCAATGTATTAACTCAAACAGATGAAATTAAGCATGATATGTATGATGCTTTCTTTGGTGATCTTCCAAGTTTTGGTGTTTTATGACTTGTTTAACATGTTTCCAAGTTGATCTTATGTGTGTGTTATACGGGTGTCTCGTAAGAATGGAATTTAGGATCTTTTAATTAAAGATCGGATAGTGAATAATCTTGAATCATATAAGTTTTGTCCGACGCCTCCGTCTTGAAATTCGTGCGAGTCCACATTCTTGTCTTGTCGTTAGCCAGGCCTAATCGAGGGACCCACGTGAATCATGTCCTAGTTTGCCAATTTTGCAATACAATCGTGTCACAATTGTATGTAGTGAAAGATTTCATTCAATTTCCCTCTCCTCGCGAGTAATACGGTTGTTATCTGTCTTGTGGCACTGGACTATATTTCCTTCATTTCCGGAAAGTGCACGAACAGTTGTCCTTTCCCCTTTTCACAATGTTCGTGTAGTTGCTTGCTATAGTGTAATTCCCTGTGAGTATTGACTATAAAGGGGACTCTCACTACAACAAAATTGAGTTTATAGGACACCCCCAATCTCTAAGTGTCCCAATAGACCGTTTTATAGAACTTAATTTATAGGACCAAAATATAAAGCGTCATATCTAAAAGCGTTGTAATAAGTTTATATGACGATTTTGGGCGTCTTAACAAGTTTTTAAGAACATCTTTAACACAAAGTGTCGCATTAACAACTTTATAAGACACTTTTGAGAAATTGTCCTATAAACTCAATTTTTTATTGGACACTTGTTTTTATAGAACATTTTTTCAAATAGTGTCCTATAAAGTTGATAATGAGACGCTTTATGTTAAAAAGTGTCCTAAAAACTTATTACGACATCAAAAAATGTCATATAAACTTAATACAACACCATTAGATAGGACATTTTATTTTTTTGGTCTTATAAACTAAGTCCTATAAAGAGGTTTATAAGGACGCTTAGAATTTGGGAGTGTCCTATAAACCCGATTTTGTTGTAGTGTCTCTTTTCTTTGGGCTATGTTCATGCGAAGCAAATATGGTGAGGGCTAAACAGAGTTCATCATCTACAAGATCGTCCCGCTTCATTGTCTCTACTAATGAAAGAAGGCGAATCGCTACTTCTTGTTGCTATAACAGATCTATACTAATGAAGTTTTTATGTGAGAAGGTCAAGCAAGCACAAAAGTTTAGTGCAAAACCAAGAGAAACTTACGAAGGAATTGAACTTTAAGTTGTGCGAATCGGGAAAAACTTAGGCATCATATATGTAACATCTCATCTCTATATGAACAAGTGTGATCATCAAGTACCATTTAGGGTAAAAGGTACGTAGGGTTTCAAGTATTTGCTTAATTACGATCTTAATTCAGATAACAAAATCTAGATATTTTCTTCTAGCTCCAAGATGATAAACCAAGTGTACTTATGCTTTACTGACTTCTACACTGTATAATAGAAATTATACAGTTTAATGAATGTGATCATTTTAGTGTAAAAAGACATAAGCCACCTTAATTATGGAATACTTACAAATGGATAAAGATCCAAACGTAATGAGATCAATCAATCAGAAAACCCTTACCAACAACTTTTACTTCCAATTTCACGCATTCTTAAGTTCGAGTCTCGTTCATTCATCGATGAAAAGACAAAAAAGCAAACTATATTATTGGTTACAATATTGAATTAGGGGTCCATTCCCCATTAAGACATTTAATTAATGGCTTAAAATTTAAATTTCCACTAACCCTTTGGACTTAGTGCCCCAACAACAGCAAAGTGGTTTCCTCTCACCTTTTAGGTTATAAATTTAATCCAAAAGTTAAGCATAGCAAGAAAGCATTACATAGTGATGGAATTCTTTACATTAAACTATCATTTCTTAGCTCTTATCCCCAACACCACTACTTTGATTAATTAACTATCAATTCATCTCTAACCCCCCACCCCACCCTTGTATACAATATACAGGTTTTTCATCATTTCATGAATCTCTGATCCAAAAAAATATCTCAAGAGAGAGAATCAATCAAGTTAATGATGAAAGTAAACATGGGTTTAAAGATCTGTCTCCTGACTTCTCTCATTTTAGCCTCACTTGTATCATCTTCATCTGCAGGTTCATCAATTTCTTAGCTTTTCTGCTTTAAAGTAATCTTTATGAACACATGTGAAAACCCTTTTGATTGTTCTATGAATCATGCTTTGTGTTCATGTGAAATTAACAGCCCGATGCGGATCCCCCAGTGGTTTTCCAATGGCCAAACTTGGTGCAACTGATCAAAATCAGGTTAGATTTGCCACTTATTGAACGTAAACTGTTTAAATTTTTGTGGGTTTTTGATCAATTGATGAACTTGTGTTATATGTATGTATGTATGTATGTATAGAAATCTTTATATTCGGAAGATGATCATGAGATATTAAAGAGGGATGAAATTCATGAGAGGCTGCTAAGGGTTAACACGAAAGATTATGGACGACCTGATCCTGCACCAACGTTTGTCAAGCCTCCATTTAAACTCATACCGAACTGATCAACTCGCATCGATCGGTTTAGAGTTCAGCTACATGTTCTACGTATGCAGTATCTATATATGAAATTAGCAAAGCGAAAACAACGATATATATATATATATATATCCCTCAGGGAGTATTACATATGTACCCTATAAGTTTTTGAGATAATACTCTCCCTCTCTCTCTATATATATATGTATAAATATATGTATGTATGTATGTATATGAGATAACTGTGCTGTAGCTAGGGTTTATGCTGCCCAGCAAGCATCATGCATGTAACATATTGATGAATTATGGATGTTTGCTTCATATTATGAAGTGTATGAAGTATGAATATGAATATATTACATATATATGTGTGTAATATATATGCCATGTTAATACTACTCTTAGATTGTATGCATAATTAGGGTTTGCATGTATGTGTGTGTATATATATATATATATGCATGTTTTTGTAGTAAGCATACATACGTGCATGTCATATTTGGACATTTTGGTGCTTGAATATATATATATATATATATATATATATATATATATATATATATAATATAGAGAAGCGATCAAATGAAAACCATCCTCATTTGTATAAACCGTACAAACCATCGTCATACGTCGATTTCATTGTTTAATCTTATGAAATTTTTTCATGAAATTGTTTAATCTTGTGAAATTGTTTCATATAATACTTTTTTTGATGAATTTGTTTCATATATGGTTATGAAATTTTAATGAAACTGTTTCATTTATTTCTCTAAAATTAAAATAATGAAAATGATAATATCCATGATTAACAACTCTCCACAATGAAAATAGTTAATCAACCTCTCATAAATACAAAAAAACAAACAAAATGAAAAATTATGATTGGTTGAATGTGGTTTTCATGGTTTGTACAAATTGGATGGTTTTTATTTGAACGTTCTCCTACATATATATATATATATATATATATATATATATAAGCGATCAAATGCAAACCACTCATTTTTTTACAAACCGTGCAAACCACTCTTATCCGTCAATTTCATTGTTTAATCTTATGAAAAAAATTCATGAAATTGTTTAATCTTGTGTTTTTTTGATGAAGTTGTTTCATATATGGTTATGAAATTGTTTCATATAATACTTAATGAAATTTTAATGAAAACGGTTTCATGTATTTTTCTAAAATTAAAATAATGAAGATGATAATATTCATGATTAACACATTCCACACTAAAAATGATTAATCAACCTCTCATAATTACAAAAAAATGAACAAAATGAAAAATTATAATTGGTTGAATGAGGTTTGTACGATTTGTACAAATAACGTGGTTTGCAAAGTAAACTTCCTCTCTTTCTCTCTCTCTATCTATCTATATATATAGAGAGGTTGGTTCAATTACTAACCCATTTTTTTGTGTTAACTATGCTAACCAACATCAACCAATTATGTTTCATTCTTTAGTTATGTTCACATGTAACTCACATATTAAGTGTAAGGGTATTTAGGTAATTTATCATTTTTATGTAACTCCCCAATATTTTAATTGGAAGTTACAAGTCTTAAAATATCACTAATTGATCTTCATGTAATAATGACATGATGTTTCACATTTGTTCATCTTACTGATTTTTAYATTTCATTMTTCCTACAATGGTTTTGATATTGTAAATTTCAAAAAAGTCCCTTTTGTAAAGAKTYCGTTATAGTCCGAGTAATATGGATAATCATAGAGTAAAACAGATCGACGACAATGAGAATGAAAAAGCTAAAAGCATCTACGAATACATTCGGAATTCAAATTCCGAAAGTGAAGAAAATGATCAAACCATTCGCGCACATGTTCACTCAAACGTCGACATATGTGTTCATTCGTGCACATATATGTTCAATTGGTTCACACAATATGTCCATTTGGTTCACACACATGTTTCAATTGTTCATTAGGTTCACACATTGTTTTGATGAAAATTATGTACCTAATTTTTCAATTGTTCATTAGGTTCACACATTGTTTTGATGAAGATTATGAACCTAATTTTTCAGTTGTTCATTAGGTTCACACATTGTTCATTAGGTTCACACACATGTTTCATTCTTATCTGGATGCCGTCACCTGGTAATCCTTTCAAATCCTCCATTGTTTTGATGAAGATTATGAACCTAATTTTTAGCTACTGATTTAAGATATTGATCGATGAGATTGACGATTTCTTTATTGATTGGAAGTTACAGAATAGGCTAACAAAATAGGATACGTTAAGATCATTCACTTTTTATAATTCTACCCTCTGAACCATTGTGAACCTAATTTTTTATTAATATGGTAATTAGATAATTAAATTTTTAGTCTCAATAAATGACAACCATTGGATGTTCAAATCAACGACCAAGATCGGTTAACAAAGTTAACACGATAATTTTGGTTAGTATTTGAACCAGCCCATATATATATATATATATATATATATATATATATATATATATATAGGGGTCCATTCAAGGGAGAACTGACTAGTTTGTGGTAACTGTGAGATCCAATCTCAACCACAAATCAATAGATAAATTAGGAAATTTATAATTTTGGTAATTTTTAATTAAAATTTTAATGCAAGGACGTTTTATGTATTTTCTATCCCCTCTCCTCTCTTCTCTCTCTGTCCCCGTCTTCTGGCCACCGTCCTCCGATAATACCATAGTGTGATACTCAAGCACATATAAGATGCATTGTGATACCACTGTGTTACATATCTGATCGACCGCACAAACGACCATAGTGTGATACCCAATCACATATAAGATGCATTGTGATACCACTGTGGTATCACCGGATAACGGTGGCCGGAGGCCGAGGACAGAGGCCCGGAGACGGAGAGAGAAGAGAGGAGAGAGGAGATATGAGAGAGGAGAGAAAATAACTAAAATGTCCTTGCATTAAAATTTAAATTAAAAATTACCAAAGTTATAAATTTTCTAATTTATCTATTGATTTGTGGTTGAGATTGGACATCATGGTTACCACAAACTAATTAGTTCTCATTTGATTAGACATCTATATATATATATATATAAAAACAGTGATGCTTTTTCTTTTACAAACCATCTAAAGTTTGCAAATAGTATAAACCACGGTATTTTTATCTTTTTACGAAATCGTATTTTTAGGAATAACTATCTTTCTTAAATATCTCATAGAATACCATATTTAAAAGATCATAACTGATTTTATCATCTTTTCTCCAACTAACTTCATTGTAATTACTATTTTGTTTCTCATATGAAATCAAACCAATTATTATGGTTTTTCATATGAAACCAAACTAATAATTTTGGTTTCACATATGAAACAATAATGAATTTTGTTACCCTCGCTTCATACCAGTGTTATTTCACTTACGAAACAATATATTAATTTTTTTTTTAATTTATAATAACATTTCATATGTAAAACGATCATCATATGTGTTTCATCATCAGCAACACAATCAGAATGATTACATAAAAAATTCACATAAGGCTTTGAAAATAATGAATAGAAAAGCACAGGGATGGTGCCTGATTGGTTTGAGCTTGGCTCCAAATGTCAAAAGTGTCGGGGGGTCTCACGTTCAAATTCAAGGAGGAACAAAAATCCCATTATGGCCATGGAGGTTCAAATGCGGTGACTCCGGACTACCTGTAAAGCAGGTGGTTTCCCTATGATTAGTTGGCTCGAAAAGCGGGTTGGATATCTAGGTTAATAAAAAAAAAGGGAATATAATTTAACCTAGAAAACAAGGATTTGGAACCATAATAAATCTTCATATATGCTTTATCTTCATATGTGCTTTCCAATTGTACTGGACAGGGTAATTCGTAGTGTTTACACTTCCACTTCTTCTCGAAGTGTTTCCTCGAGAAGTGCTTTTTTTTATAGTAGTGAGATTGTCGAGGGTTCTCAACGGATCGTGGTGAACGCATGTTTTCTCCAAACAAACATAAATGTGTTTCCGGAATTCCTTTCTAGTTCGTTGCTTTAGCTTCCAAGGGCAGATTGTGACTGTGCCGATGAAGCGAGAGATCCTGATCTCGTTGAAATCCTTAGTTGCAAATCTCACAAACGAAGCGATTCGTGGCTACCAGACTCTTCTGTTCCCTCTCCGGCAACGTACCCTACCCACTTATGTTCCCTCCGACAAACTAGAGACGAAACCAAAGACAAAAACAAAAATCACAGACGAATTAGAGGTCGTCAGATGAGAGAGAGTGATGGAGAAAATTGTGGTAAAATAATAACCAAAATTAGATAATTCTAATTATTTTTTAAAATTAAAATTTAAAATATTTAAAATATATTTAAAAATTACCATTTCCTTAATTTTTTTTATCAATTCAAATCCGAAAATTCTTCAACTATTAATTAAAAAAAAACGGCTTAAACAGATTTAATTATAAGGTTTGTAACCTTCCGATTTACAAACGATTACCCCTATATATATACACACACACACATATATATATATATATGTATGTGTATATATATATATATACATACATATATATATATATATATTTACATGATTATATTTTTCTTCTTTTCAATATTTAATGATAAATAAATCTTTTGAAATATGCTTCCAATTAATTCTGAACACTCATAGAAACATATTATACATCATGTCGATGACATTGTGATTGTAAATGCTAATTTCTCATGGAAATCATATCTATGAAATCGAATTTTTTATATCAGTTTACTTTAACCTAACAAATATATATATATAGGGACACATTCAAATGAAAACCGTTCATTTCTAAGAAACCGTGTAAACCAATTTCGATCAATAGGAAAATTTCATTTTTTTTTTCTAATTAAATTTAATCAATAAGGGTATTTCGGTCATTTACAATATTTTCTATTAAATATGAAAGTTATTAATAAATCTTAATTAAGGAAACGTAATAAAGGAAATTGTATAAATGGTAACATTTAAATATTTAATTATATTATAATATTAAAATTTTGAATTTGATATATTGTTATTAGATTGAATCTGCAAACGGGTCTTGAAGATTGAATTGCATTATGGAATGAATCGTAAATTATGGTTCAAATTAAAAAAATAATGTTAATGAAATAGATTTCATGAAGGGGAAACTGATTTATGTTGTAATTGATTCATGAGTAATATGAAATCGTTTCATGGTGAACCACGTTTCGTGATGGTGTAGTTGATCCGTTTAGTAAAAAAAGGAACATGAAACGGGTGCATAATTTATTTGGTTCGTCATGAAAAAATTGCATGATGAAACGGGTACATGATGAATCTGCTTCGGGATCTTGAAGATTGTAATATGCTCCAAAATCTTGAAGATTGTA